AAGGCTGCAATTTCGGTTTGAAAAGAATTACTGTGCTATCATAGATAGGTTTTTAATGTTTATAGATATAAGAAGATGTGGTATGAGTGCCAATGAGACAACTCTCCATCCAAGTCAAAATTTATAAAAGTAAACCATTATAGGTCACAGTACGGTCTTCAACACGGAGCCTTGGCTCACACCGAACAGTAAGCTATAAAGGGCCCCAAAAAATTACTAGTGTAAAACCATTCAAACGGGAAAACCAACGGTCTAATCTATATAAAAAACGAGAAACGAGAAACACTTATGAACCACATCAACAAACGACAACTACTGAACATCAGATTCATAACTTAGGACAGGTGCAAACAAATGCAGCGGGTTTAAACGTTTTAATGATACCAAACCTTCACCCTTTTTCTGAAACAATAGTGTAACATCACAACATAGAAAGACACACTATAAAATATCAACTGAAATAGCTTAACTCATTCAAAGGACATATTAACACCATTGAACATACACTGAACAAATAAATTTGACCTATGACACAATGTAAATACAAAATAAATAAACTAAGGGAAGAATAATAAAAGTAACATGATATATCGGTAAGAAATGTTAAACAATTAAAGAAAAACAATATGCTCGAACAAAAATACCATCCATTTGCAATAACTTTAAACACAGGTAAATGAAAATAATTTTGTTGTTAGGTATACCTGTATAGTACCAATAGAGAAAGGATATGTCTGCATAATGAATAATTATGAGGGGGGTGACACAGGGGTGTTCATTTCCCAAATCCTTCTTTTTTTTAGGAAATTTTTCCCACTTCTCGAATTTTTAAGATCATTTTTCCCACTTCCCACTTTTTTTTCCAATTCTCCAAAATCCCAGATTTTGGTTTTCCATAATGCCCTATTTGGAGCCATCCAGAGCTGTCTTCTTGTCTTAATTGTTCTACAGTATGTACAGAACTTATGAAAAAAAAACATATTTGCCTTACCTATACTTTAATGGTCCAGATTCTTACTACAACCTCAAGAAACAATGTCATTTGATAATAGGAAAAAAAACCACCAAAGGTGATAAAGCACTCATGGATGACTATGAAAATAAATGCCTTCAATGCTTAAAGCAACTCCCGTTTAGTTAACAGAACACAAAACTTAACTGAACACAAAACCCAAAGCAGGGAATCTTCATATCAGACACAAAGTGTGATACAATTGATGAACAATTGTTAAAAAGAGGGACAAAAGATACCAGAGATACAGTCAAACTCATAAATCGAAAACAAACTGACAACGCCATGGCCAAAAATAAAAAGACAAACAGACAAATAATAGTACAGATGACACAACATAGAAAACTAAAGACTAAGCAACACGAACCCCACCAAAAACTGGGGGTGATGTCAGGTGCTCCGGAAGGGTAAGCAGATCCTGCTCCACATGTGGCATCCGTCGTGTTGCTTATGTTATTACAAATCCGGTAAATAGTCTAATTCGGTAAGTCGCATTCGTGAAAAGGGAAGGGTATTGTAGTTACGACATAAGGAACATATCCGATATCATCTGTGAAACAGTTATTCCATAACGGTCAACCAACTCGTGATGGCGTCCGTAAAATTTACGAAGGGATGATTTCAACTTCACCATTTTGAACTCTTGGCTTAATAGCTTCCTTGTGAGCAGCAATCCTCTATCAAGGAAATCATGATAGGAAACACAAGCCCGGGAATATCGTATCAATTAGGAGATATATACTCCGTATGCAGGCGCTGCTGGAATGTTGCAACATAGAAATGGAAAGTTCACAATTGGGAAGCTGAAATCATCTCTTTTGTCGTATAGTTTTGTTTTCAACCTACCCACATTGTCAATTTCTAGATGTAAGTCAAGATATGAATTGAAGAACAAGAATTACTGGTTACAAGCATGACCAATAATTATTCCAATTGATACGTTGATACTACTGTCTGTTGAAGTATGGAATTTAATCAACAATAAAAAAACATAGAAAATGCCACCTAAATATATGCAAAACCATTGAACAAACAACTTTTAGATAGGACGAAGTTTGTGAATTCTCCAGGAAACCCCTCTGTTTGTAACACTATATTTACTGTATGACAATTAGCATAGACCATGTGGTGAAGGACTATCTCTGAATGCGAAGCTAAATGTGAATTCAAATGAAACACTGTTAGTTTTTCTAAAATTCTTTACGAGGAACTTATTGACTCTTACTGGAAAACCCCTGTACAAAAAAAGCAGTAAATTCAAACACGATGAAGACAGCAACACAGATATGGAGATATAACAATCTTCCGTGACAAGATAATATATAAAGTGATCTGAAATGGCTAATAATGAATTTAAAAAAGCTTTGATTGATGATCATTGATTATTTTTTTTAAGCAAAATAGTCTTTTAAATAACTTGGTGTCCGTCTTAGTCGTGTCCCGGAAGATTGTGTTATCCCTAAAACTGCGTTGATGTCTTCATCCTGTTCGTCTCCACTGCTGTTTTTGTCCTGGGGTTTTCCAATAAGTTCCTCGTAAAGAAGTTCAGATATATTATTTGATTTGATTTAACATTTATCTGTGAATTCAGATATAGTTCCTTCACCACATGGTCTATGCTAATTGTCACACAGTTAATAGTTTTACAAATAAAGGGGTTTCCTGGAGAATTTACAAACATATCCACACGTACATCGTCCGATCCAACAGGTGTTTCTATAGTGGTTTTGCATTTGATTAAGTCGCATATCCTTCTTTCTTTTTTTTTATTGTTGATTAGATTCCACACTTCAACAGACAGAAGTAACAATTTTCCAGTTGGAAACATTATAAGTGATGCTTGTTCACCAGTTTCTTTTTCATCAATCAAAAATTTTTCAAAGTCTATTTTATCAACACTTTGTGTCTCTTTCTGATATGCATACGATGGAAGTGTTCCTGCTTTGAATTTGGTGTTCTGTTGTCTAAAAGAGAGTTGTTTTACGCTTTGCAGATATTTCTTCTTATAATCATCCAAGAGTGTTCTATTAGCTTGAGTGATTTTGATTTTTTTGATTTTTAGCATTTTCACAACTGCATTAAAAGGCACCAATCCTTCAGGGCGTTCGTAGTAGGAAACTGGATTCGTGAAGTATGACTGATGTGTTTTTTTCAAAAGTTCTGTACATACTGAAGAGAACGAAACAGCAAATTCAAGTGTATCTGGAGTAACGACTCTGTCTCGCATCAAGGAAAAAAGTTCTTGCATTTTCACCATTCTTTTTTTTTCTTTTTTTGTGGGTTTTTCCCACATCCCACATTATAGTCATATCCCACTTCCTTCTTTTTCCCGGATCCCACATTATGGTCATATCCCACTTCCTTCTTTTTCCCGGATCCCACTTTTTTTAGCCCCTATATCCCACATCCCAAAAGTGTGTCACCCCCTCAATTATGGTTTAAAAAGAAAATGTCAAAGGATTTCTACCCGTGGCATTATCCATGGTAAAATCTGGAAATAAAGCACGACGAAAAGAAATAAATATGTTTTGTTACAATGAGGAAAATAATCAATTCCTTTCGTCCATGGGTTTATTTTAGTTGGAATTTTGATTCGAGCATCACTGGTGAGTTTAATATTATAAACGAAACGCGAGTCTGGCGTACAAAATTTTAATCCTAGCATCTTTGATGAGTTGTTTTTTCTACCGTAAAATTTAAGAACAGTAAACTCAACTTTTCCATTCTAATTTCTTTGTTTAGTACCATCCACGTCAACAGCAACACTCACTCAAGGATATCGAGATTTCCACACATCATTTGCGCCAACAGTTTGCATGTTCTGAATATTTAAGATTTGGAGAGAATACACAGGAAACAATACTGAAAGGGCGATATGAGATAAAATTACACAATGTAGACAGCATCAAGAATAACCAATAATTTCCAGAGAACTTTTTGATGAAATTTAAAACATCATTTCTAAATAGGCAACACATTAAGAAGCTAGGACAAACACTGTGAATGACTTTTGACTTATTATATAATTCTAAAACGTGTGGCAATTTTCAAATTAATTCATCACTGGAATCGAGTTGAACGCAACCAAATTAATATTTTGGTTATTATATTACTTTATCTTCTGTTTTCGATTAGTTATTTGAAAAAGCAATCATATCTGATTGAAAAGAAAGAAATTATAAACAGTTACTGCTCCATATCAAACACCCTTGGACATATTGTAGAAATCAGGGTTGTAAGACACACGTTATAACGTAAAGAAAACATCAGTGTATGCATTTTCATCTTATCAGGGATAGAACAGGGATACAAAGATGGGACATGAAAAGCACATTCTGTTTGATTGTAGGAAGACTTTTTTCTTGAGAACAAAGATATAAAAAAATAAAAATAAAAATGAGATTTGGTGTCATTGCAAATGAGATAGCATCATATATCTAACCAAAACCATATAACGGGGTCAAAATGTGCTCATCAACTCTGAGCAAAACTGAGCTTAAAAACAATGGCTAACAACCATATGTTAAAAGTCAATAATCAAAAACAAAAGAATAGTTCATAGGAATCATATATTACCACTAGATTATAGAGTTTTGGTGTTGCACATACTCAACAATACAAAAAACAACTATTAAATTAATTGTGTTTGAATTTGAACTCTTGCAGTCACTGAAAGCTAGCTTAAAAGCATTTCTTATGGGTAGCACACTTTTGATTTGTTTTGATTTTGTCTTTTTTGCTGTTGTTTTGGGCTTTTTATTATTGCATATTTACCTTTAAAGGTTAGAACAATTAACTGTTGAAACATTATAGTAAAAGCCATTAAAATAGTGAACATTACAATATTGGAAGTGTGCACTTCGATCTGGATGTATATATAAAACTTGCATACATTCTATATGTACGTGTTGTACACGGTTTACAAAATTGTTTTGTAAATGGAATATAAGCAATATGTTATTGATTGCCTTATCTCTTATTTTTACAGAAACCATTACCAAAACTGCCTGTTCCCGATCTCAGTAGAACATTAGAAAAATATATAGAAATCACACAACCAATTTTAACGCCATCTCAGTATGCTAAAACGAAAGACATTGTACGAGACTTTGGAAAACTTGGAGGAGAAGGAGAATTTTTACAAACGAAACTTAAAGAATATTCTGAAACTAAAGATAACTGGGTAAGTGATGAATGAACCTAAAGATTACTGGTAAAGACAACCGGATAAGTGATTAATGAAACCAGACAAATGGGTAAGTGATTTATGAAACTAAAGATAACTTGGTAAGTGGGTAACGAAACTGAAGACAACTGGGTAAGTGAACAATGAAACCAATTACAACTGGGTAAGCGGTTATCGCTTGATCGTTTTGTACGTGTACCAAACTTTACTTTTAAAATATGATATATGTCGCCCTACCGATTTTTATATAATAACTGTCAATATGAACGCTCAAGACCAAAAGTTTTGGAAGCCAAATAAATCCAACTATTCAGATTATCCGAACCTAAAATAGACCATAATAGAAAAGCCTAGTCGTTCATGTCATCTTTGTTTGTAGGAGTCGCAAACTTAGTTTTGGTCAATTATTACATAGTTCATAAATGAAAATGTACAGTAAAATATATCATTCTTATTATGTCCCAAAGCACTGCCTACAGGTACTCTCTATATACATTAGTACACGTGCACGTCCTTTGTGAATACCTGTGTGCAGGTATTTGTATGATCAGAATGTCTCTTCTAAGACAATCAGCTAGCTTCTACATATAATTGAACAGGTTCACCAAGTGCAAATTGTATAATAATGCGCAAGAATTAATTCTTAAAGTACACCTATTTAAGCGAATCAATGGTTAACTTTAGTTTATTGTTCTTTATTTCTGTAGAAATTCTTTCATGTTTTCCAATTAATTATAGTATAACTAATAGCCGTATTTGAATATAAAAAAAATAAGACAACACGTGGTCATAAGTTGTCTAGTTTCGATATTCAAATACGGCGATTAGTATATAGAAACACACTAACAAACTCAGTTGGGTTCACTTAATGTATTGTCGATTTCAATATACTTTGTTTTGCCTATGAATATATGTTTATCACATATTTGTTACGAATACGTTGGGTTTTGCATATGTAATAACCTCAAAATTGCCCGGGGCAAACAAGAGGTTATTGGTTATTGTGCCCTGATTCCAAATAACGTGACGTCATTGCGTCCTTAACGACAATGGCGAACAATAACGTTGCTCGTTTCATCGCAGTGGAGGAAAGCGATACGGCAGACTTTGTAGAGCAAATGTGCCCTGATTCCGAAATAAGTGGAAATGTGACAATAAATTTCTATAGTGTAAATGATAAAAACTAAATTTAAAAATGTGATAAAACTTTTGTGTAATAAATTTTTAAGATTTTACCTGTTATATTTCATTAAATTGTTATAATTGAACTTTTTTCTCTTTTCTGCAGAACTTAAATATGTGATAAATAGATTATAACATGTCTTTTCCATATTGGCCCTGGTATCATCCCTCGACCCATATCGGCCCTCGGCTAAAGCCTCGAGGCCGATATGGGAGTCCCGGGATGATACCAGGGCCAATATGGAAAAGGGCATGTTATAATCTATACGTATTACACCAATTGTCAAATTGGCAGATCGTCATTTCATGAAGATTGATGCAGATTTTATAATTATCGTGAAGCAAGACGTTGTTTTAAATGCACCCGGACTATTAACTGTTGTTATGTGACATACTTAATAATTTAGTTTTAAGTATCAAGGCGCAAATATTCAGTTGGAAGTGAGGGTCCGGTAAATGGCGGAGAAAGTCGAGAGAGCAAAAAGAAGAGAGATAATTCACATGTGAGATTAGCAGAATTAATGACAATGGAATATTCACATAAAGCTCTATCCTCGATATAGCAATTTCTTTAAATTATTCCCAATTTTGGAAAATAAAAAGAATAGGGATACCTTGAAAATAATGTCTCAAGATGCAAAAGTAAGCTGCAAAGGCGAAGATTGTAACTTGACGATAAATAAACTAACAAGTTTTACACGAATCTTGCGTGTCTCTTATGGTGCCGTAAGATGTCATACGTTACAAAAGTACATATAAAGTGAATGGGAAAATGGGTCTTCCAATCCTTCTTATTTCAAATTTGCATTATTGATTATATAAAGCTTTATCTATCATATGAATTTTTATTTTAATATCTTTGATATATTCTCATCAAAAACTTAAATATTATACATATATAGTTAATAGAAGGATTCTCACATAAAATGAACATAAGACTTTATAAATTTTATGCGTCCCATAAGCTTTTCTGGTTTTACGCTCATCCTGAACGCTCAAAGACATATCACAAACATCTAAGACAAACACAATCGCCTTCCAATTACCCAAGATTTTGAATGTAGATATTGAATTTGTTTTCATTGATCCAGTATAATGAGGCATTCATGCTTGATGTAATTCTTTTGAAGCAGTCCAGCAAAAGTTATAATCAAAGTCTCATTTGTTTTGAAATTGTTCATTTTCCTAAAGATTACACAATTACTTCTCCTCTTTTATAAATTGAGGATCGTTAATGCCTAGTATTATTTCTATTATCCAGTAAATGATTATATGTTTAAGACAAATACTAGGGTTCTTCATTAGGTCAGAGATTATTATATATAGTATGTAAATTTAAGTCTGGTGTTTAAGTGCATATACTTAAATCTGAAATAATCACTTGCTAAATCAATGTATATAGTTTTGAGATAATTCATGGTTACATACTAGTCAGACAAGCAGAAATCAGAAACAAAAAAACTTCACAATATCACAAAAAAAATTAATCGATTGTTACAAAAATAAAACAAACAAATATACAATAAACAAAAACAATGATTACAGTTGTTGTTTCTATTAAAGTTTAAAATTTGGTATATTAGAACGAACCTACGGAAGCGTATTAGGGCCATTCTTTTTTATTTATTTTTTTCAAATTGTCGACTTTAATCTTGGAATTATCAACTTTTATCTTGGAATTATCAACATTAATCTTGGAATTTCCAACTCTAATCTTGGAATTTCCAACTTTAATCTTGAAATTTTCAACTTTATCTTGGAATTTCCAACTTTAATCTTGGAATTATCAACTTTAATCTTGGAATTGTCAACATTAAACTTGGAAATTCCAACTTTATTCTTTCGAACCTCATTAGTCCGACTTTCATTAATCGAGTGAATCTCTGCATTGAGAACATCGTGACTTTTGGCTCACTGGACTCTCGCCTCGACCAAACAGTGCACTTCAGTTTGATGTGCATTACTTTACTTTTTGTTGGTGATTGCTATTGTAAACATCGATTCACATCCGCCTATTCAGCAATATAATATAATAAATGCATGTACTGCATATATAATTACAAATGGATATTTTAATTTTGACATTAGGGGGGGGGGGGGGGATACTTCGATATTTTTTGGTAGGGTGTGCCATTTTTGCCTTAAAAAATGTACCCATATTTTATATAACATTCACTAATATTTGATACCTACATTTATAAATAAAAATATACAAAGAATGACCTTTACTTGTATACAATATTTTAATTTTAAAATGCATAGATTCAGGGACTTTAAGCCCCTGATTGATTCAAAACCACAATTGGCCATTAATATAAGATTTCCAATAACATATTTATATAAGATGTGTAGAACATACCCCAAACCAATATAAAGTTATGAGAGAACAATGAATATCAAATAAACTTAAGAATGTCATTAAAAGTAGTGTCATTTTTATATAAATACTCGCAAAATTATGACCCATATTTTTGGCATATCCACGTATACCCATTTATAGGAAGTTACACCCCCCCTTTTCATGGATATTAAGCTACGTGAAGCTATACAAGTTTGTAGATACACGTCTATTTTTCCTTTAACACTTTTTAGCCGCGAAAATAATTATAAGTAGATTAAGTATTCGGAGAAATACAATAAACTATGGGCTAGAAGTAAAATATCAGTCATTTCCAAGATTAAAGTTGATAATTCAAGTTGATAATTCCAAGATTAAAGTTGGAAATTCTAAGATTAAAGTTGATAATTCCCAGATTAAAGTTGATAATTCCAAGATTAAAGCTGGAAATTCCAAGATAAAAGTTAATAATTCCAAGATTAAAGTTGATAATTCCAAGAAGATTAAAGTTGATAATTCCAAGATGAAAGTTGGAAATTCCAAGATTAAAGTTGATAATTCCAAGATTAAAGCTGGAAATTCCAAGATTAAAGTTAATAATTCCAAGATTAAAGTCGATATGAAAACAATTTGAAAAAATAAAATAAAAAAGGATGGCCCTAATACGCTTCCGTACGAACCTTTGATTTAAATACTCAACTTAAAAAAAGCTACCTTGGATAGTATTTAATAAGAAATTGTTTTTCTCTCTCGCCAGAACTAAACGTACGACCATTTTTATATCATACATAAAATGGCCAAAGCAGTAATTGTTATAAATATTGTCTGTATGAAATAGACTAAATATTTGTAACCTGTCACACGAACCCTAATACAAACTACGGGAAATGTAACAGTTAATTTAGTTAATGCGAATCACAAGATTTCATCTACATTCCTATCGATCTTAACGTCTTAAAGCAAAAAAATATGAAAGATATATTCATATCTAGCTTGTAGATTTTACAGTTCCATGAACAAGCTCGCGTGTTCATTTTTATCTCTTGACATTAATGCTTTGGTATCAATCGATCATTGCAAAAATTGTAGGAAAATTATATGTTAAGGAAACAACTTCTATAAAATGAAGGAAGTTGAATGAGAGTTAAAGGAAACATCTAAACAATACAACTTTTGGCGTCTTTGTGCTACGCTACTCAATCTAAACATTTACAAAACCTCCGTACCATTACTTGGAGTGCATATTTGATATTGGAAACTTTCGTTTAATTTTCTCTATAAACACGATTCATCCGATGGTTAATAAGAAAATTCTCGTGCTCTATTGTAATCTATTTTTCTTAATTACCGATATATTTTTGTAATATGACATTTACTGATGTTTATCGGTTTACAGTTGTTTGATATTTGAAAATAAGTGAAAATGTAAATTTTATAATTGTATTATAAATAGGATATTGACAAGAAATTAAAACAATTTCAGACAATAATTGTCTACTCTTTTAAACTTAAAGCCACAGTCAGCATTACCATTCTTCTAATTCAAGCTTGATAATTGAAAAAGACAAAGACAGGCCACAAATCGCTTTCGATGTATTAGTATTACAACGTTTAGTGTATTATGAAAATTCTGTTTTCAGTTACGTTTACACGTATTAAACATCTGTCTGTGATAATCTACACATTTCCAAATTACAAATATTATAAAACTTGTTTTATTAACAATATTATTTGTGTATTTGTGCAAGCTGGTTTTCTGATTAGTAGTTCTATAAATTTAAGATGAAATGTTTAATGTGAAAGCATATTAGAAGAATGAATCGTCATTTTCTAGGTAAAAATAAAACAGCAACCGTTTTTATTCAACTCACTTGGTTTTTTTTTTCCATCAAAATTCACACGTTTTAATACGTGTTTATGTAATTTGGAGATGTGAATTTATTGTTTTATTATCTACAGTCGTTAGGGATAATTTAAAATGTTGCAGGCAATATGTTCACTGTATTGAAATGTACAGTCTTGTGTCAATTTTACAGATTGGTTTAACGTAAATTGTGGCTTAAAACAAGGGTGTATATTATCCCCATTATTATTCAATATTTTTATTTATGATCTAATTGATGATATTAAAAGGCTAAATATTGGTATTTATGTTGATAATGATAAAGTGTATATATTATTGAATGCAGATGATATTGTATTTTTAACTGAAAATGAAAGTGATTTACAAAAACTGGATTAATTTGATGATGTGACAATGAATTTAGTTTTCAGATAGTCGTCTTTGAAATAACATGCATTGTCAATATGCATGTATTATTGTTATGATGAGTTGCATTTTTTTTTAGGTTCAAAGTGTGTTTTATTTTCTAAAACTGTGTACGATATTTTACTTTATAAATCAGGCATACAATTGGTGGTTAGATGACATGTACATGAAAGTGCGATTACCACTGCCTATCAGCTCTAATCCAGGGATGGTGTTTCCTAAACAGCATTTTTTAGACAGAGCTCAACAGCTAAGGTAAATTGAGTTGTATTACATGCACAAAGAATTTCTTTCCTTCATTCTATAAGTCTTACATACTGACAGACTTTCAAAACGCAACACAAATTTTTGTCATTTTTTTTTAACAAATCTTTAAGTTACTACTATTCATGCTTATCATATAGCTTTCTATTTAGCGGAAAAACCTGACTTACCTGAAGCATTTAAACATACCGTATAATTGACGTCGCACGAATTTCTTAAAGCGATATTTGAAACCCATGAATGATTATGTAAGGGTTTTATTCCCCGTGAAACATTTCTTTCAATCCACACTCACACTTACATCAGTAAAAAAATGTTGCATTTCCATATTGCCGAGACTGAGCAAGGAAAATCTGAATTAGGTCATCAGAATATCACCGGCAGGAATATGTGAACGTGCTGTTACTAGACAATTTCACGGAAAAAATCTTCTTACTGTCCTTAGAACAACGGTACAGACAGACGGGATTTGTTTAAAATTTGATGACACGGCCGCAACGTCAACTGCTAATCAAGTCGTCGAATGCCATGGCAGACAGATTCACGCCTTAAATGTTTCCCATATACTGAAATGCCAAAGAATCGACTGTAGAAAAACATTTTAGGCTCTAAAGTTTAAATTGCATAATTGACAAAACACATTGTAATGTGTGGGACAGAGGCCAAATCAGAAGGAACAAAACAGAACTCAAAACATGCCCAACTGATCTGGCTGTCTAATGACCTTTCTGTCAATCATTTAGGCGTTGTTTACAGACAGAAGGGTCATTAGACAACCAGATCAGTTGTCATTGCCTTCAACGGTGACACATCCATTGATAAGGGGAAAACCAGGGTTTCAGTGCATACCACATGATTTGAACATTAAACATGATGTAATTAATTCAACTTTCGAAATGCAAACATTTTTTAAGACAATGAAGTAATGAATGAAATCTGGGAACAGTATATCTATTATATATGTCAATATATATGTTCCTGATGAAATTAATGTTTATACATTTAATTTACAAGAATTGCATATTTGAGAATGAGAATAATATAGTGTTGTGTTTTTAAAGTCCGTCAGAAAAAAATGATATCATATTGCAGGCTGTAGGACACGGTTTATTTAGTGTCAATAGCTCTATGCATAATTAGTAATCTTTTACGGGATTACACAAAAACTCGTCTATCAGTTTTGGCGACCTTTACAGGTCGGTGTGTGTTCAAAATTGCAACTCACTTAAAAAAAAAACAAGTCCATCAGATAAAATTAGGATAATAGTTCAATATAAATATTTTCGTTATCGTAAACAGCGATTATTGTTAAATACCCAAAAAAAATCCATGAAAATAATTTTTTTTTCAGTCTGCGTCCAATTTGCAAAGCTTTTGTATGAGTTAAGGAACTTTTGAATTCATTTCATTTCTATTTATATCAAGGTTTCTGAAGAATCTAATTGTTATAGTGTCGTAGCTTAAGAAATTCTATCAAAGTTATATATATATTTGTAGATCTTATACATCGACTTTGAATGTTCTTTAATTTTAAGCTACAAGCCATACATTTTTAGGATATTATATTATGTAATAATTCCCTCCTACAGTTTTATATCCTTAAACTTCACCGGACGATTGCACACATATCTAAGTTAAGCATCTGCTATTATGGAATTGTTTGAGGTTTTTTTTAGACTTGGTAACATAGTAATTTTTCAGCAAAATTTACATAACAGGGTATATATTTTGTGTAATTAGACCTGTGCACCTGCTTTATGGAATTGTCTGAGATTTTTTTTTGCTTTGCAGTTTTCCAGATTCCGGAACTTATAAAAATAAGGCGATGTGGAATCATTTCAAATCAGACAAATATCCATTAGAGACTAAATGACATAAATGTAAGCTGTACGGCCTTCAAAAATGAACAAACACCCAAACCATATAGTGAGCTATAAAAGGCTCTGACATGAAAATCTGTACAACAACTCAAACTAGAAAACAAACGGCCTTAGTCAATATGATCAAACAGTAAACGAGGCCTTAGTCAATATGATCAACCAGTAAACGAAAAATCAAATTTGAACGGCAACCAACGACAATCACTGCATGATTAACATGCTTCTGACTTGGGACAGGGGGTAAATATGTTTGCTAGAGCTAAATCATTCCCTTAATCTGGAACAGTGGTATAACAACAAACACAAGAAATAAACTGTAAAAGGCTTGACTCATCTGATCAACACGAAGCACACAAATCAACTTACAAAAAGACAAAAATTAAACACAAATTTCCGGTTAAAGAGTACTCGCAGAAACAGTTAGTCAGTTAAAAGCCATATACAATTAAAAAAAAAACCTGTTTGCCTAGAATAAATTATGAATCAGTAGACAGTTTTCAATAAAATTCTCAAAAGCTGTAACCAATTTTTGTGTTCAATCCAGATCTTTACAAAAAGTTTGCACACCCTTTAAGTTTGTACACTTTCTATTATGGAGCTGATTTGAAAAAGATTTCCCATTTTATAATTTACATATATCTTTATGTTCATTGTAAGGCCATTCTCCATAATTTAATGAACATAAAGTACATGTAAAACCCGGCCATTTGAGTTTTTGATCCATTCTTAAATATGTATGTTTATATCCTTCCATCTGCCTACGTAAATGGGTTTTGTTCTGTGTTCTCAATATTGCCGGTAACTTCAAATATGACTAGTGTTTAACTGCAAGCATTTTATGTACAACATTTCATTTTTACAACACTTGCAATTCATTTAAATATCCTTAACTCTATACCAGTTCAAAGGAAATGGTCTCTTTCAGACTTCAAAACACCATTAAAGCTTTGATGACGTCACATATAAAAAGACTTCATGATGGATATGAATCATTTTTGAGTTTTTTTTTAATGTTAAAACGATGATTGATGACTTTATTGGTCTTCAGGGGGATACATTTATTACAGAAGTCAAAGTTACCATGTCATCTATCTATTGTATTCGGTCCAGATAAATGGCTATTGTTATACTGATGATGTTAATCACAAACATTGTTCATTTTACACCAGGGCCCCCAAGAGACAGAGTCTGATTTGATCTGGTATCTAACGAAGTGTATAACACCAGTAATCAGCTTCAATCACAGACGTTTAGTGATAATAGCATCATATCTATTCAACGCGTTCATTAGCCTGATATAGCGCGCCAGCATTATACCTCATTTGGGAATTCTTTTAGTTATCACGATTGGGTTCACTCTAATACGTCGAACAATACCGGTCATTTCCATCTTTAAAACGCGTGAAAGGATTCTTGTGCGGAATCGAAAAGAACGGCGGTTTACTCTCCTTTTTAATATGGTTGCACATATTTATTAAAACTCCCCTAAGGATTTAGTATGCTCATCATGTGAAGCATTATAATGAATTTTAGTTGAGCTACGAGGATCACGGTAACAAGGTTCAGAACATTCATTTCCATCTGATGTAATCTTATCTTCAATAAGCAAAAAAAGATATTTTTCCGTCTATTCTAAAAAAAAATTGTTTCTCCTGGAGAAGAAGTAATGTACTATGAGAATCCGAGACGGATAACAATGTTATGTGCACAGTTTATTACGCTTGTTAATGACACGCAAATTGTTCCCCTAAACGACGTCTGACAACAAATTTTATATCAATATACATCGAGATTTTCAAAAGATTGTCTATCGAATTTAACGAAATATTCGAAAAAAAAAATATCATTAAATTGAACTATAAACTGCGAAACACAGTTTTACTTTGGAACCAATGGAGTAAAATTTCATTAGGGTGAAAATAAACTACTTGTAAGCGTCAATTGGGTCTTTAAGAAATGAGTTTAATTGAATTGAAAGAAAATTTATGGTAAAAAAACGGAAGATTTAAAAACTATCAAAGCCATTTCAAATTGATTTGTAAAATGTAAATTACAAAAAAGTGACAGTTAATGACTATTTGATGTTTCCGTTTAATGTTTTATAGATCAGTTTGTTTTATTTTAACAAGTTAAAAAGAACACACTTTTGAATGTTGATTTTGGTTTATTACAGGCAAACGGAAATCGAAATATCTTCTTTTCCTCATAAACTAAAGAACTGCGTTAAATTAGTTCTAAGTTCTGATCCTTAACAAAGACAGATAATGCACATTCTATTTCATTTAATCGATAGCAAGATTACCTGTATATAATACTGCACATAATAATTCTTATAAAGAAGAGAACACGTCAGCGTATTCCCACTACAAGTCTCATTCATAAAAAAAAACGGATACCAAATTCTAAAATAAACATTTTCAAATTATATTGTCATTACCAATAACTCATCATAGATACCAGGATTAAAATTTTGTACGCCAGACGCGTGTTTCGCCTACAAAAGAATCATCAGTGACGCTCCAATAAAAAAAGTTAAACAGGTCAAATAAAGTACGAAGTTTAAGAGCATCGAGAACCCAAATTCCGAAAGGTTTTGCCAAATAAGGCTAAGGAAATATATTGATGTGTAAGAACATCCTTAGTATGCCGAAAAAAAATCAACGATTGGTTAACCGCTTATTTATAATTATGACTATATCAATGATATTTCATGTTGACACAGAAGTGCTGACTACTGGGCTGGTGATACCATCGGGGAGGAAACCACCACCAGCAGTGACATCAACCCACTTCTGAATATAATACTTTTATGAGGTCTTGTATGTTAAATATTCAATGAAAAACAATTGGCCCAAATTGACGACATATCACAATATGTGTGTGGAAGAGAAACACTCCATACATTCCTTATTGTCGTCCTGAATGCGTTTGCAACACTAATTCAGATTAGTTTGTTCTACATTTTTGTCCGGTGTCGTAAACATTAATGATATTCCGAGATTAAAACTTTATAGGGCATTAAAAACTTTGTCAAACGTTCATGGCAGTTTAAGAAACATGTTCAGAAAGCTTCATCATGATAAAAAAAATCATCAGCCGAAAAAAAGTTTACCCATATTTTACTGATAAATGGATTTTTATTTATAAATCACCTTATGTTATAATGCTGTATTTTAATTGGATGAGAGAAATGGTATTTTTGTCATTTTCTATATATTGAGATTTTCATTTCTCTGCCGGTGTATTTGTCATTAGGGAATTTCATGTGCCGGGGTATTTGCTAGCAAAAATACCGGTTTCGAGGTAAACAAATTTCCCTCGCCTTACAGCTCTGGAAATTTGTTTACCCCTAAACCGGTATTTTTGGCAATTACCCCTTGTCAGCATGATATATTTGTATAATATTCATATAAAGAGTAGGGTTAAAGTTTTTACCACACCAATAGCCTAAACAACCTCTATTTCAGGAAATCTCTTAGAAGCTTCTTCATAATAAAGTGATACCATTTCAAGTGAAAATATACCTTTAATTAATAACTTTGTAAAAACTTTATGGAATTCCACAACACTTTGACAGAAACTTCTTTTAATAGTGAAAGAAATATCACCATGGGCTTTTCTCAATAATTTTTTTTTCACATTTTACTGAAAAATCAAGTTTGTCCTTTTTTTCTTTTTTTGGCAGTCGACATATGTAACATATTTGTTTTTCGTTCATTATTTTGTACATAAATTAGGCCGTTAGTTTTCTCGATTGAATTGTTTTACATTTGTCATTTCGGGGCCTTTTATAGCTGACTATACGGTATGGGCTTTGCTCATTGTTGAAGGCCGTACGGTGACCTATAGTTGAAAATTTCTGTGTCATTTGGTCTCTTGTGGAGAGTTGTCTCATTGGCAATCATACCACATTTTCTTATTTTCATATTTACACAGACCTCAGCAGGAAAAAAAACAAGTTTCCTTTGCGGATACTTAGTGAATCGATATAATTCATTTTACATCGTGGTTTATCTACAATTTGCCAAGAGAAAGATCTAACATTTTTAAAGTTTTAATACCTTGCTCCGCTATACCTCATTCGAATCAATTTTACGTGCATAAACAAAACCTTAAATATCATGATACTAGTAGATTTTCCACTGCACACATATTGTGTTATTGCCTGTGTGGGATTGAAATAACTGATATGGTTGAAACCATATGTTTTAATAAATACGGCATATTCAGACCAATACTTGCACATTGTGCCAACTCAGAACTTGAAGGTAACAGTTCACACCCCGACCTGGACAAATTATGTTGACGCAAAACTAACAATTCATTGTTCTTACTATACGAGCACACGACCTCCCACACTAAAGACCACCAAGACGGTATAAAAGTTAGGCCCTTTCGAATATATCCTTTATATTTATTGGTTTCCGTTTGGAAGAAATTTTGACCGATCCGTATTACAAGAGCACTTTTAATGTCGATTTTTTAAACATAACTTATCAAGAATTTTACTCGACATATTAAATTCTGCACTGTTGGGCATCCACTCCTTTTGTGTCTTAATTTTTAACAGCAAGTACCAAATCTATTCCTGGTTCGTTCAAGTCAGGATAAATGACAAAGAAAAATATCAAAGAAACTAAACAAAGTAGATTTGAATGCACGTCTCGGCAATTTGATAGATATAGATGTAGAAAAAAATCGCATGATCCGATTTTCGTGCACAGCATAAGCGTTTTTTTTTTAATATTTTTTATCAGGTACGCTCAAGACAAACAGTTGGGATGTAAAGTCGCATATCGTACCGTTTTGGTTTTCTCAGTAGTTATATTTAAAATTACCTTATCGAACTTTCATGTACCTTTTCTTTTGGAATAAATTAATGTTTTTATGCTGCGAAATACTTACAGCAATAAATTTTTCTTTCAGGTATGCCTCAAGATTGATTTCTGGCATCTTGGATTACAAAACCATCATTGATGCGTAAGTTGTCAATTATCTCGCATATTTTATGTCTTCTGAATGTAAATTTTTAAGACAAACGGTATGTTCAAAATTTACAACAACTTGGTCGATACCATTGTAGTTAGACTCTTGGCATCCAGGATATCATCGACCTAGAAGTATTCTTTGATTCAAGTGCCTGTCTCAGATAAATCCATGCAAAGAACCAAGGTTACAAGATCACCTTCATACTCTGTTACAAGGAAGATCTAGTCATGTAATGATTTCAGAATTTTTTTATTTTCAAAAATTTCAGAATTTGCCTTATGTAGGGCTATTACTAAAAATAGAATTTCTATCAAGATAAAAGGTTAAAAGCAAGCTATTTTTGATAAAATGGGCCTTTGATATCCATTAAATGAATAGTTTGTAGACATTCTTGTATGGTTTTATCAATAATATGAACCAATGTGATACTAGTGATTATGCTATAGTTGACCTTTCAAATTTCCTTTTAAGTGCAGAAAGGTCACCAAAAGGTCAAATTTCAAATTTTGAAAATTTTGCAAATTTTCAGGACTTCAAAGTCTTCCCACGAATAGCGAGGATATTTATTTCTTTTAATTTTGGTCTTTTTACTATTGCTATAGCTTTATTTACAAAATATAAAAAATTGTCCTCGGCAAATGAATTTGTCTCAATGAATAGTCATAGTTATGGATTTGGGCGATTTTTATAAATTTTTCACTTGGTTACAGCAAATTCTCAAGTTTGATTATGAAACTGTTAACAACATGAAACAGTTGAAAGCATAATATTTTTAATGAATTTTATACATGTATTTAAATTACAGAAAAATTCTTTTCAAAATAAAGGGGAGATAATTATATTGAATTTAATGGACACATTTATATTTTCTTCATTTTTCAAGAAAATAAGGTCTGTGAACCTTTTATATTTTGGAATTATTTATGAAAAGCCATTCTATCCTAGAAATTGATCTGCTTCTATAGTTTCATTATCCAAAAAATAGATCAAAAATACGCGTTTTTCTTTTTATAACCTACAAAAAAAGCTGAAATTTATTAATTTCATTGCATTTTAATAGGGAAAAAGGTCAGCGACACACTCTTTTTATATTGAAATTTTAATGTGCATTGAGACAAAAGTCCTTTACATTCAGAACCCCTAGTAACCATAAGCTGGTATGGACTGTATTATCTCTGTTCATTCAAGCTGACCATACATGCCTTCCATTTTTTTCACAGGCCAAAACCGTTTGAAAATGTTTAAATGTTGAACCATGCAAAATATCAGTACACATGCATAAGCGAACGAAGAAAAAACACTTTCTTCCCAAAATTCCCCATATGAGAGGACATTGGAGTATATTGGGAAACAAGCAGAGAGGTGTCAGCATATACCCACACATAAGATGTGCAAAATATGCTGCAACAAATGACAAATGACACAGTATTAACGAAAAAACCATTTATTAGAGGCATTATGGAATATGCAATGTTACACAATGAAACTATTTCACCATACTTGTGCTGCACCGCATGCAGGATCAGATAAGGAAACACAAAAGATACACATTACATAATAGTGGCTACAGTCATGTTAAATGACGGGAATAAAAATCACATACTTTAAACTATATGTAGATACCCTAAAAATCATTTACCCCAAGTCTTGTTGATTTTGGTTCAGTAGTTTCAAAGAAAAATTTTAAACTGGAAAACAGACGCCAATTGATAGCAAAAGTTCACTAAGTTGAGCTAACAATATACTATATTATATCATAAAATTGAGAATGGAAATTGGGAATGTCTCTTTCAACCCGACCAAAGAGCAGAAAACAGCGTAAGGCCACCATTACTTTTTGTAAATATATTTTATTAACTTTTGGCTGCATTTCATCTCATGCTAAGCATACTACCACTCTTTTCAAATTTTCTTCCAACAGGATGGTGGAAAGTTTGAAAAAAAATGAAAACAACACGTTAAATAATTTCATGCGTTCGAAGCGCTTTTCTGGATTTACCTTCATCAGGAACGCTCAAAGCCGAATATTTGAAAGCCGAGGATGTATAAATACCGAAACAGTTGAAGAGCTTTATGACAAAAAATACCTAAAAAATAGCCAAATCCATCTCGTCAATTTTGCCTGAAAATTGTTAGCATGTTCCAATAGTACAACCCATTATAATATAATTCAACAAAACCAATCTTCATTTTTTGGGGTATTTTTACTGCATATAAAGCTCTTGTAGTTTGAGTAGTTATAACCAACTAACAAAAGAAGTTTTACCTAATTCATCCTTGAAATTGACTTCTAAATGGCTTGACACAGTCCTCTTGTGTTGTGTTGAACATTGTTTACAAATTTCTGCAAAAGATAAAAAAACAACATTTTGAACATATATGCTACTATTGTAAGTTCAAAAGCAGTTCCCATGATCAAACTGACCTTCTCCCCCACAAAACAGCTTCCTGTGATTTGATTTGGAATACGTGTAATTCAAAATAAGCATAAACAATATACTTATTCAGTCTACATGAAACATACATGTATTTGATGCAACCTTTCCCGAAATATTAATTTCAAGATACATTTCAAAATCAGTCTGGCAAAAGTCTCTAGCTTTAGTCAGACTGATATCTATATGTAAATAAAAATCAAACAGTTTTATCCTATTTATGTGTCCTGTCTGGGTTACAATGTAAGAGGAGCGTTGTAATTTCTGCCCTTTGTGTCAGACCTTCACTTATTGGGCTTTACGTTTTTCTTTTAGTTAAAGTACATGTACATGTTGTTTACCATGAGGTTGAGGTAAAATCAGTTTCAAACTTACATTTTTATGTTAAAGTTTTTGGTTGAGGCAGTACACATGTACATGTACATTTTTTACTATGAACTTTTGGTCAAATGTTAATTATATACAGATAAAACTTCAAACTAACATGTTTGCTTTCAATGTTTCTTTGCTTCCGGGGTACATGTACCTATACCCGGTGGTGATGCTACACAGTGATCTAGTACACGTTTATTCTGATATATTTGACCCTACATAAATCATGTTCTTCATGGTTCACCAAACATTGAAATTTGATAGCACAATGGGGGTATGTCCTATGGAGTCAGGACACATACACTTGTTTACAAATACATGTACAATATATGTTGGTACATGTATATATTTTACATGTCTAATGAGTAATGTACAATGTACATCTATGTTTGAAAATGCATGTGGTAATTTTCCAAAGGAAATAAACACACAATGTATCTATCTATAAACATGTAATTTATTAACACTCATTTTTGACAAACAGAAAGACTGCAGTGTTGGGTCCATGGGTAAAAAGGGAGAGACATGATTTGAATACTGTTTTACGCATTAATAAAAAAACGACACAGAGATCTTATTGACATATTTGTTGGTAAAGCAACTAAGATGGATTACAATTCTCCCATTTACATTTATATATGGTTGCATTCTAGAGTCATACCTGACCCAATCGGCACTATCTGTCTAGTCTTTAGCCACACCTCTTTACAAACAGATGGGTTGGCACCACGGTCTACTTTTGCTCTACTTTTGTCATTGTGGTTTGGATATGTACAGTGTACTTTCCCTCTTCTCCGATTCAAACAAAGTTTTGCTCGATGGGATTCACAAATGTTGAGGATCAACGATGTTTTGTCAATTGTAAAAATCCCACTTCGGAACAGAATCAACAAAGATTCTGGACATTCAAGTTTCTCAAATGGTTTTCCTGGAATTGTTTCTGAGAACTTAAGTCCAATCAAATGTCTTCCTGTACTCCATTTACACTCAAAAATGTGTACATAAGGGTCAGAATTGTTGCATGGTACAGTTGAAAATTTATGAAAGTCACACACTCTTGTTTGATCTGCTGTCACAATTCTAAAAAATCAGTTTTACATCTTCCTTGCATTGGTGGCTGATATTTTTGTTCAGCATATTATTTTTCTTAAATTGTTTAACATTTCACAGCGGTATAACATGTTACTTTAATTATTCTTCCCTTAGTTTATTTATTTTGTATTTACATTGTATCATAGATCAAATTTATTTGTTCAGTGTGTGTTCACTGGTGTTAATATATCTTTTGATTGAATTAAGCCATTTCAATTGATATTTTATAGTGTGTCTTTCTTTGTTGTGATGTTACACTATTGTTTCAGATAAGGGTGAAGGTTTGGTACCATTAAAACGTTTAAACCCGCTGCAGTTGTTTGCACCTGTCCTAAGTCAGGAATCTGATGTTCAGTAGTTGTCGTTTGTTGATGTGGTTCATAAGTGTTTCTCGTTTCTCGTTTTTTATATAGATTAGACCGTTGGTTTTCCCGTTTGAATGGTTTTACACTAGTAATTTTTGGGGCCCTTTATAGCTTGCAGTTCGGTGTGATCCAAGGCTCCCTGTTGAAGACCGTACTTTGACCTATTATGGTTTACTTTTATAAATTTTGACTTGGATGGAGAGTTGTCTCATTGGCACTCATACCACATCTTCTTATATCTATTGAGGTGTAATACCACCAAATCATAGTACGTTACATCCGGTTGCATACGAAAATAGGTCGAAAAAAAAATATTCCCTTGAATTTGACAGTTGTAGGTAATTGATCCTACATTTCATTGCAGTAAAACATTTCTGAGTCATAAACATATATCTTGGGTATTTCAAAGCACCATTATTTCTTTATTTGGGGTTTCTATAGAATATTTTGGAAACTTGAGGTTACATGGTTACTAAAGCTTGTACACAGGTTAAAAAAGGGGAAAAATTTGATTGGTTAACTTCCAGTGATGGTTATTTTCTTATATGCAATGAAATGTTATGTGAAATTTTTTCTATAGTACTGGACAGGATAAAACTTTACTCATGCCAAGTATTTCTTTATTTGAAACAAAGATAAATTCTGCACATTTTTTTGAAAAGTGCAAATTTAACAAAGACTAATAGGGGAAAATCAATGGTGGTATTACACCTTGAGACAGCCATGGATAATACGGCATAACACAATGGGTAATCTGGTTAAATTTGAAAGATGAAAAATCTATGTATTAGAAATTAGAGATTTGATGATTTTAAGACAAATTGAAGAAGTTTTTTCGTCGATTTTATTTGCTTTCAATACAAATGTTCATCTATTTTGAAAGAATTCAATCAGTAATATTTCAGATGATAAAAGAGATAAATGCATTATTTTTTCGATTTTCAGTTATAGTTCAACAAGCCAAAGTTGTATGCAAAATCTTAGCAATATTTGTGACATTTACTGTAACTTGAACTTAATCAGTAATGCATGAATATATTTCAACCCTCTAGTAAATTTGATCCGAGACGGATTTGGTTTTCTTCTTAAGCTGTATGTATTGAATGTTTTTTACTTGATTGTATATTAAAAAATCAAGCATGTATCTGATAATAATTGGAAAACAGTTATATATTTAATTGAGAATTAGATGTATCGTACAAAAATGTATGCATGGTAAACATTTAAGCGAATGATCAAAAACAGAATTTAGGCATATTTACAACTGAGAATATTTCACGGTATTTTGTCGTGTTCGGATATTCCAATTAGCACGATGTTCGGTGATTCTTTTAGAATTTAATAGCCTTGCGTTATTTTCACAAAAACGAAATGTAAAGGAAACTGTAAAATGTGTAAATATCATTGCGATAACAAAAAATGCACGACTGAAAAATATTTCATGTAATATGGAACCCCTATCCTACATATTTTTAGTTATTTTATTATTACTGCGACCTAGATTCGTATGTTTTCTTTGAAGTACAATGTTACATGGTAATGCTATTTCAGTAATTTGCACAGATTTCAGTATAGTTAGACATAAAGGATGTTCTAAGTTTTCAAGCTGACCTTAATTAAGTGTACAGCTGACATAAACTTGGTCATTATGTACATCTTATAGTTACTAAAACTGAGTGTAATTTCCGACTTTGGAAGTCTTTAGTATTTTATAGTATAATTAGTTGCATCAATTTCTCTTCCGAAATATCCATTTAAATGCTACTATACCGGTCAATAAATGGTACAAACATATAAAAGACGACAATAAAAAGTCTGGGATTACATTAAAACATTTCTGCAATTCGTATCAACCTTACATCGTTTCTTGTGCGAAATGTACATGTTTCAAATGTAAAGAAAAGAAATTAATACATATAAAATAAAGAAACTTTCGGTATGTATGATAATAGTTTGTTTTTTTTTTATTTTGAATATTGCCTTTGATATGCATATCAACTAGTATGTTACTGAAAGTTCTCAATAACTGAAATGTTAAGGGACGGACAAAAACGGCAGTTTAAAAAAGCCAACACATTTGGGTTGATATGAATAATTAAGGCATAATTTTGAGGCAAAAGTAGGGTAGCGATGTTGTAATCTCATAAATCATTACGAACATACAAATCAAAGTAAAAACAAACTCAAAAACTTAGGAAATCGCACGAACTCCAAAAGGCGCGTTCGTGACAGTTGTCTACAGGATAAGCATCGCCTGCTTATGACACTATCCGCCATGCGAATCAACACTGTCAAACTGACACGATCGGGGATAGGACACCATTAGTACATTGACAGATCAGAGGCTTGTTCTTGTATCTAAAGGGTAAAAACCGTGAAAAATGTCACGCTTGGGTTAAGACTAAGACACATCGTATCGGTTCACCAATTCCTGATGGTGACCGTAAAACCTATGCAGTGCCGACTTCATGCATTCATTCCCACAAATCGATTGGGTTAGTTTTTGTGTGAGGAGTACAACATACTTGTCTCCTATTAAACACGAATTATTCGCCAAGCGATTGCAACACATATCTAGGACAATAAAGGAGGGTTTTACTATAGAACCCTATGGGATTTTATTTTTTTAAATTTTCAAATGATTATAAATTGAAAACCGTTTGTGATAAACACAATCTTTTTAATTGAAAATGTTCTAAATGATAAAGCATATTAAATGAAATACAGGGTTAGTCCCCAGGGGTCACCCCAACCCCAGCCATTTAAGAAAATTCTAATAACTTGTAAGTGGTCAAGATCCCCACCCCTAAACCATATATATTCTGGTTTGTCATGCTAAGATGGTTTGAATGATATACAGGGTTAGTGCCCAGGGGTCATCCCGACCCCCTGCCATTTGAGAAAGTTCAAATATCTTGTAAATGGTCGAGATCCCCACCCCTAAACCATATACATTCTGGTTTGTCATGATAAAGCACATCAAATGAAATACAGGGTTAGTCCCCAGGGGTCACCCAACCCCCTGCCATTTAAGAAAGTTCTAATATCTTGTAAGTGGTCAAGATCCCCACCCCTAAACCATATATATTCTGGTTTGTCAAGCAAAGATGGTTTGAATGATATACAGGGTTAGTCCCCAGGGGTCACCCCCACCCCCTGCTATTTAAGAAAGTTCTAATATCTTGTAAATGAACGTGATCCCCACCCCTAAACCATATACATTCTGGTTTGTCATGATAAAGCACATCAAATGAAATACAGGGTTAGTCCCCAGGGGTCATCCCGACCCCCTGCCATTTGAGAAAGTTCAAATATCTTGTAAATGGTCGAGATCCCCACCCCTAAACCATATACATTCTGGTTTGTCATGATAAAGCACATCAAATGAAATACAGGGTTAGTCCCCAGGGGTCACCCCCACCCCCTGCCATTTAAGAAAGTTCTAATATCTTGTAAGTGGTCAAGATCCCCACCCTAAACCATATATATTCTGGTTTGTCATGCAAAGATGGTTTGAATGATATACAGGGTTAGTCCCCAGGGGTCACCCCCACCCCCTGCTATTTAAGAAAGTTCTAATATCTTGTAAATGAACGTGATCCCCACCCCTAAACCATATACATTCTGGTTTGTCATGGTAAAGCACATCAAATGAAATACAGGGTTAGTCCCCAGGGGTCACCCCCACCCCTTGCCATTAAAGAAAGTTCTAATATCTTGTAAGTGGTCAAGATCCCCACCATTAAACCATATATATTCTGGTTTTTCATGCGAAGATGGTTTGAATGATATACAGGGTTAGTCCCTAGGGGTCACCCCCACCCCCTGCTATTTAAGAAAGTTCTAATATCTTGTAAATGGTCAAGATCCCCACCCCTAAACCATATATATTCTGGTTTGTCATACCAAGATGGTTTGAATGATATACAGGGTTAGTCCCCAGGGGTCATCCCGACCCCCTGCTATTTAAGAAAGTTCTAATATCTTGTAAATGGTCGTGATCCCCACCCCTAAACCATATATATTCCTGTTCGTCATGTCTCGAACATTTGAATGACGTTTAGGGTCAGTTCCCAGGGGTTCCCCCCACCCCCAATGTTCTAGTATCTTGTAAATGGTCGAGATCCCCACCCCTAAACCATATATATTCTGGTTTGTCATGCCAAGATAATTTGAATGATAAACAGGGTTAGTCCCCAGGCATCACTAATGCATATAACTTTACTGGACCAAACCAATTTTCACTGGACTTTGTCCAATGTCAGGCGACCCTGGGAATTACGAAGTTTGGGAGACTTCGTAACAGCATCCTGTTACAATCATTTCTTGTTTAGTTTGAAATCATCCCTATTTGGACATGCATACAGCTTTACAGTCTTAAACGTCATTTACAAAAAAAAAGAGAGGCGAAAGATACCAGAGGGACATTCAACTCATAAGTCGAAAATAAACTGACAACGCCATGGCTAAAAAAGAAAAAGACCAACAGACAAACAATAGTACACAAAACACAACATAGAAAACTAAAGACTGAGCAACACGAACCCCACCAAAAACTTGGGGTGATCTCAGGTGCTCCGGAAGGGTAAGCAGATTCTGCTCCACACGTGGCACCCGTCGTGTTGCACATGTTAGTTCAAACCCGGTAATAAGTCTAATTCGTTAGGTCACATTCGGGAAATAATTGTCATTGTATACATTTATTTCAGACGTGGATTACCTATTGACAGAGCTAGACACAAAGAAAAGGGACAACCACTATGCATGGAACAATATTACAAATTATTTACATCATACAGAATCCCTGGTGTGAAGAAAGATTCTTTAATATCAAACCATACAAACTTAATGCCAGAACCTGAACATATCATTGTTATATGCAAAAATCAGGTAATTCTATGACAAAATATCTTGATGTTGTTGTATAATTATTATTACTTAAATATGTACATCTGGGTAGCTTTGTTTTTGAAAAATAAATTATGAATCCTAACATTTTTATTCTTCAGTTTGGTTATAAATTTTAATACTGCGGATTCATTATTATTCTTTGGGTACTCATTTCCACCAAAATTCAAGCATCCTAGAAGCTTGTAAAATGTGAGATAACTATAAAATCAAAAATCTAACTACGAAAATAAATAGCCATGAAAATAATTAAATGTAAAATAGGGTTGTATCATTATTAACATTAACTTAAAGAGTAAAGCAGATTATGAGCAAAGCATTTTCTGTCTATTTTGCAAACATGTCGGATAAATCATTTGAAAGGTGTGCATGGAAACTTAAACATAGGTTGTAATTTGACGTTATCATTCTGTACCTTTTCTGTGAAAATTGTCTGTATTAAAAAAGAGCACAAATAAACTTTTCAACATAACTATGATCGATATGTACAGAACTAAAACTACATTCATATGACTCTGGAACAGCAACAGGATCTCATTTCCTTCAAATGAGCAAAAAAAAAAAATAAAAATGGGGTTTGTTTAAAAGATTGTTTTTATTTCATGTACTTATGATGCAAGTGTATATATAAAAACGAAATATCTATATATAAAAATGAACGCGTTACGTACAATTTTTACGACACACTGCTGTTAACCAGGGACAGATATTGTTATTCAACTAGTGAAAAAATCAGTGATTGTTTGATTCAATTAGATTTATATACATGTACTGTTCGGTGTGAGCCAAGGCTCCGTGTTGAAGACCGTACTGTGACCTATAATGGTTTACTTTTATAAATTTTGACTTGGATGGAGAGTTGTCTCGTTGGCACTCATACCACATCTTCTTATATCTATGTAGAAACATGGTGAATACTTGTGAGAGGATATGTATCATAGATGAACGCGGACGTTTCGATTTCAGAAAACTAAAATTTTCAGATAAAGTAATATTCAAGCTTGGTTTTGAAAACGATTTACTGACATGATAATGAAAAAGATAAATACATTTCACAATTAAACTGTTTGCTTCTCTACAGTACAGTGAATATTGTTGATTTCAAGAGACATTAATTCTCGACTAAGTTTATAATTTGAAAAGCAAACTCATGTAATGTACAGAATGACAGTGTGTTACATTTAGCTCAACAATTGTTAGATCTGCAAATTTGCGTTTGTAAATGTTTGTTCTTCCCTCAGTGGGATTTGAACCCATGCTAATAAATAAAGCGTTGGTCAATCGAGTGATACCTTTCCTCGTCGGCTTCATTTAGATTTGAAGCACAGTATTTAGTACAACAGTATAAAGTATAATGGCATGTAGATGGACTGTTTTGAAGATCAACTGTTTTATATCAATCCTGAAAATTGATAATACTTACCATTACGTCACGCCATTATGTTCTGTTTTTCCTGTACATCATTACTGTTGGTTGCCGAATACTAGCGCATGCAAATTCATTCAAAATCATTCTTAAAAAAACTCAAATAATGGAAAATTTCTTGTTTTATTTCATTATTTGTCAAATTAGCAATATACTTATCTCGCTTGGGTTGTGGATACCTTATGAAGAAATGTTTATAGATCGTGCATTATATAAACTAGGCACCAAGTCTATTGTTCTTTAATTTTCACAGTTCTTTGTGTTGGATGTTATAAATAATTTTACCAGACTGAGTGAGGGCGATCTGTACACTCAGCTAGGCAGAATATATAAAATGGCGGAGGAAAACGCAGCCAAAGCCGAACCAATCGGTATTCTTACCGCGGCTTACAGAGATCAATGGTCGATAGCAAGGGCAAAGCTAATGGAAGGTAAAATTTGTTCCTAGCAAATTACATTGTTGATGTTAAGTTTCATCATTAGGAAGACTAGATAATTTTTTTTTCAATGTTTTTGAAAGTGATATAACAGCCAACAAAATTAAAACAAGGCATTTTGGTTATCGATATTCAAGTGCTAGCGTTGTCAAGCTGTGTACGCTTAAAAGCAGTGCCAAAATTTAACACAATAATGTAGAGCAAAGAAGCAAAATAATGAATTGAAGCTTTTCATCATGATGATTACTAAAACAATATAAGGCTTTGGGCGAGTGTTTAATTTAGTACAATTTACCTTACTGTGATTGATGATAGCAGCGAATGATATTCAGCCCATTTTTAGACTTATACCTCCAATTTGACATAAGCGGTCATCTCAGTACCAGAATCTATGACAAACGAGACAATTTTTATTTTGAAATTATAATTCCCCCACCTAAGCAGCAATTTACCAACTTCAACTGTATATGGGATATACATTTCCCATCTCATTCGGTATTCAAGAGCTTGCAGCTGCTACTCAAGACTTTATAAAACGTCACCAGTGTCTGAGCAGAAAGTTGATGAGCCAGGGTTATGTCCAAGAACGTTTCGTTCGTTTTCCAAAAGAGTTCATTGGAAGATACCAAGAACCTTGTTTATAAATATTCCGTATCAACTTTACAAATAAATATGACGGTCTTGGAGTATAGATTCTAGGTACTGACGTTGTTTATCATCTTAATTTCGTGTTATAGTGTTCTATTTAATTGTCCTTGTACATTTTTAACCTTTACTGTTTAGTACATTTTTGGTACAAGAGAGGCGAAAGATACCAGAGGGACATTGAAACTCATAAGTCGAAAATAAACTGACAACGCCATGGCTAAAAAAGAAAAAGACCAACAGACAAACAATAGTACAAAAAACACAACATAGAAAACTAAAGACTGAGCAACTCGAACCCCACCAAAAACTGGGGATGATCTCAGGTGCTCCGGAAGGGTAAGCAGATCCTGCTCCACATGTGGCACCCGTCGTGATTAAAATTATATAAAAATGTTGACGACTATACCCTGTTGTGCTATGGTCATTTTTTGTATTCTTGTCTTTCATTTTTGCATATGTGCTTTGTCTATAGTGTATCAATATGCCATTTTGTTTTTCTTTGTTGTCATAGGTGTTTGTTCTTTTTGTAATGTTTAAGATTATAACATAATGTTGACTGCTGTACCAATTTTTGACATTTTTACCTATTATGTCTTTCTTTTGCTCACACATTGTTGTCAATATAATGGAATTCTATGCGACTGTCACGCAAGTGAGAGATTTAGCTAGCTATAAAACCAGGTTTAATCCACCATTTTCTACATAAAGAAATGTCTGTATCAAGTCAGGAATATGACAGTTGTTTGATGTGTTTGAGCTTTTGATTTTGCCATAATATAAAGGACTTTCCGTTTTGAATTTCACTTGGAGTTCGGTATTTTTGTTAATTTACTTTTTACATTGTACATTTGTAAATTCATCGAATCGTAAATTTCAGTAATACCATTAGTTATAACATTTTTAAACAACTTTACAAAAGCTTTGATAACACATCAACAGTTCTATACAGCAGTATTGCGAATCCTTTAGCAACTATACACGAGTAGTTAAGAATAATATACGCTTCCTATGAAGAATTTTTTTTAAATGATAAGAATGACAGGTTGTTCAAGATATTATATCTCAAAATGCATAATTAAAACACTTATGCGTATCATAGAATATTATATAAATAAAACATAGCTGAGAGGGTGATAGAGCAGATTGTTACCCCTCGAAAAGACATTGTCAACCTTGCCTTCGCCTCAGTTGACAATGTTTTTTCTCGGGGTAACAATCTGCTCTATCAACCTCTCAGATATGTGTTATTTAATTTATTATACTGAATGTTCTGTTATTACTGTCTATTAAATTTCAAATTCAAAGTAATAAACTATGACGTCTTACATAACAATCATCAGTATTTATTAAAGCGCACACTTGAGCAAGTGTCTCCGTGAAGGGTAATAGAGTATTTGCCATGGGATAGAGTAAATTTTCACCCTCGTATTAACCAATCAAAATCTGGCATTTTGACATGAAGTATAATAAATATAAGTGTCGTCATTCTATTCATGTCTCGCCATTGGGTCCCAGCTGCAATTCAACAAAATAAATTAAACTCTGTTAGAGAAATTGGACCGTAGATTCCATCCGTATATTTGTTTCCATAACTTGGTTGGAATGGTGTAATAGCTCCTCGTCTCTTTATAGACCCGTATGCTACTCCCAAAGGTAAAGTCGCGGATACCAAAACATCTAGCTCTACGAGACATATTGACATGTTTGTACTTTCTATCAACAAAATAATAATCAAATTGTATCACCTATCGAATATTTAAAAAATCAGCAACGGTATCATCTGCTTAAAATATACATCAATTTTCAAACAGAAAAAAATCTTTTTTCATTTTATACCAAAATCAGGAATAAGTAAATCATTTCAGTATTATCTATTCAAATATAAATAAAACATTATGGATTTATAAATTTAAAGTGTTGTGCAGAATCCATAGTCTCGGAAAATTTAGTATCCACATTTGCACTGGCAAAACATTTTACAATATTTTGTTCACACCAAGGGCGATAACATATTAACCAAAACAAAGACAAATAGTATCTGATTTTTTTTTCTGTAATAAATGGCTTTTATTTCTTCTTTGAACAGATTCAACAAATCGTGATTCCTTAGATGCAATAGAAAGGTGTATATTTGTACTGTGTTTAGACAAAGGTATTCCATTATTATTTAATCATCAGAACAGTATAGATGAAACAAATAAAAATATAAGAGATGATGTTTCTCTTGCCTTCCAAATGTTGCATGGCATGGGAACAAACCTAAATGGTGCAAACCGTTGGTACGATAAAACTATGCAGTTTGTGATATCTGAGGATGGTGCTTGTGGACTGAACTATGAACATTCGCCGTCAGAAGGAATAGCAGTTGTTCAATTGATAGAACACCTACTTAGTTATATGTAAGTTTTGGTATTGTGTACAAGTATGGTTTTGCTCATTGTTGAAGGACGCACGGTAACCAATTGTTGTTAACTTCTATGCCATTTTGTCTCTGGTGGAGAGTTGTCTCATTGAGAATAAATTTTCTTCGCTGTATTTGGCAAAACTTTTAGGAATTGTACGTCCTCAAAGCTCTTCAACTTCGTACCTTATTTGGTCTTTTTATTTCTTATTTATTCGAGCGTCACTGATGACGAAACGCACACCTGGCGTACAAAATTTCAATCCTCGTATCTATGATGTGTTTTTGTTACAACCACTGGGTCGATGCCACTGTTGGTGGAGTTTTTCTCCCCGATGGTTTCACAAGCCAAGTAGTCAGCACTTCTGTGTTGACACGAATCATAATTGATATGGTCATAACTATAAATTAACTGTTCACAAAAATTTGAATTTTCGAAATACTAAGGCTTTTCTACCTCAAGAATAGATTACCTCAGCTGTATATGGCAAAACTTTTAGCAATTTTGGGTCCTCAATGCTCTTCAACTTTGTACTTTCTTTTGCTTTTTTAACTTTTTTGAATCGAGCGTCACTGATGAGTCTTTTATAGACGAAACGCGCGACTGTCGTACAAAATTTTAATCCTTGTACATGTATCTATGATGAGTTTACTAATCACATCTCCTTATTGTTGTATAAGTTCTTTTTATTTAACACTTTAAATAAGAGACACCAGTTAATCGATGTTCAAATCTCGTAAACCTATTTTGTAATATACTAACTAAGCGAAGAGTATGAGGGAATCGCATGAAGAACGACACCTGGCGCGTTAAAATATAAGCATCTACTGATATGCCTGCTGCAACCGTCATGCAAATTCAGATTCAGTGAAAATATCACAACAGAAAACCGAACATTATCGTTATATCCAGAAATAAGGCAATGGTTCAAACTTGACAGATTTCACCCCAATTAAAATGATCATGTTTAATGATGGTTTTACCTCATTTTTGAATTGTGTGACATAAAACAACATTGCTTTTCATTTTGTCGCGAGTTAAATTGTGCAGATGTATGCCTTAAAAATACTTAATTTGTACAATATTTTCTAATACTTTCTGATATTTTTTCTTCAGTTTATTTTCATGTTAAGGACATAATTTATGTTGTAATTTTGTTAAAATTTCAACATCATATATTTGTACTTATTATCAATTTGATTTCTTCAGGGAAGAGGTGCGAGCAAAAAGACTCGTCCGGATGAATTCCGTTTGTGAACTCGCTAGTCCAAGGAAATTACAATGGAAAGTATTTCCAGAAATCGTTGATTCTTTTAACGTAGCTTCAAAACGTTTAGATAGGTAAGAGGTCACTTTACAATAAATGTTTTGATTAAAATAGAGCACGATAAGAGTTCATTAAAAGTCATTCATAGTTTTTGATGTGAGAGTGCCTACAATGTTGATTTTTAATAATATTTACATTTTGAGGGCATAACTCCCTAAAAAATATCAACTCTGATGTACGAATTTGCCGAGATATTGCTAATGCTAACCTTTGACATAAATTTATTTAAAACTTATATGGGATGATTGATTGTGTTTGCTTTACGTCCAGTGGCTACTTATATTGGAAACGAAAATGTGAGAGCCCTTACAATGTGAATTTTTCATATTATTTATGTAAACCTTAACGTAAATCTCATTAACCTCCAGATGGCGTGAGAGCGGTTTCAATTTTGATATTCGATATTTTGACTTTGTGCGTAAAACATGCAACCAATATCTCATGGCAATAATTGAACGTGAAAAGAGATACCAAAAAACTAGTTGTTTATGAGCTTGTCTACAAATATCTGTACTGGTATTATGTGATACGTTTTCGAGTCACCCTTTGTTAATTTGCACAAAAGTATGATGCACTCTATACATGTAGCTAGGTAAGCACGGATTTCTCCGCCCAAATGGAAGACATTTATGGGAATGTATATAAGTATACAAGCATTAAAAATCGCCAAACTAGTGAAATAACTAATAATGTTATATTTTTTTCAAATTAGTTAGGTTAAAAATCCTTTTTCATTTTATATTAAATATTGGAACTCATTTACCATTTATAAAATATTATTCTTGCAGTAAAATAGAGGATCTTGATCTTTACATACTAAGATTTGAAGAATTTGGAAAAGAGTTCCCAAAGTCAATGAGTATGAGTCCAGATTCCTTTATACAACTATCTTTACAATTAACATTTTACAAGTAAGTATGAGGAGTGTGCGATTTTCATATTTCCGGATTAAATTAATCAAAATGACTGTGTCCCGAAACTTGCATGCAAAGTGTTGTTTGATATTCTAGATTTTCATTATCTGGTCACCCGATTCGAGTTGATGACAATATTTCCATTTCCACCAGTAAAGAAAGAACTAAAACCAACAATATATAACTTTTTTGTTTGCGTCTTTGTTAGATTTATTTGTATGTTTGGTTGCATTCAGTCAGTTGTGTTGTACGTCTGTGGTGCATGTGTTTACACAATTTTCCTAATTTAATTATTGTCACATAAGCCTGTTAAGTCTGTTCGGCTAGCTCACCCAATTTTGTTTATGTAACGAAACTATACACAACTGTCATACAAGTGGGAAGTTAAGCTAGCTATAAAACCAGGTTTAACCCACCATCTTCTGTTGAAAATGCCTGTACCAAGTCAGGAATATGCTAGTTGTTTTCCATCCGTTCCATTGGTTGATAAAGTCTAACGTTTGATTTTGTCAGTTTTTATGGACTTCCCGTTTCCGAATTTACCTTAAAGTTCGGTATTTTTGTAAATACTTTTTTTTCAAACAACAATGCGCAACAATGTTTTTAAATGAAAAAATAAAATGGGACTACTTTAACACTTCCCTACATTTCTTCTTGAAATAAGATTACATATACTATACTTTTATACCGTAATCAATATTCAACATCTACATTTATAAACATATACAAATGTTTCATTGGTGCTTCAGAATTCACAAAAAACTTGTGTCTACCTATGAAAGTGCATCAACTCGTCGCTTCAGACTTGGCAGAGTTGATAACATAAGAGCCAATTCTCCAGCAGCGCTTGAATGGGTTAAAGCCATGATAGGAGAAGTGTTGGTGTCTGTGAGTATGCAAACATTTACTTTCACCTCAGTTGACAACATTCAAAGTATTTCAGTTCATTTCCTAATTGTCTATGTATTAAAAAAAAACACAATCATGAAGTTCTTATAGAAAAAAATGTGATGATATAACTAGACATAAAAACTAAGCTAGATTCTTAGCTCTTTCAAGTGTCTACTTATTCTATTTATTTCACGGTGGTTATTCCTTTGTTTGTACCATTAGAAAGTAATATAAAAACACAAATAAAACCTGTACTTTTACAACAGAACATTTTTTGAAATGCCATTAACCGATGAGAATAGTAATGTCATGAATAGTTATCTGTTAATCCAACAACAATATAAATGCCAATAGATGCACTGGTTTATGAATTTAAAGAAAGAAAACTCAACAACCAGGAACTGAAACTATTCTTCTCTCATTTTAAATTTTGCATTGATCTATAATCAACGTCTCTTCATTTTTTTAACTTAATATATTCTAAGCAATATTTTAACCCTGACTTTAAAAAAATTATGTGAACACTTTCTTATTGTAATTTACGGCTGCCAAACTTGTCAGAAGAAGGAAATAAAGAAATACTACAGTCATTTACATCTTTCCTGCATTCCGTCAATACTAAATGCATTTTTTTCTATAAAAGGACATTTCGATGTTTTACATAGACTTAGTGTTGAAAGATAGGATATTCCGCATTACGACAATGTCACAATCCTACATACTGTAAAAGTGCAATAAACATGTTACAAGTTTTCTTTAAAAAAATAGCATTTTATTAGTCTTCGTTGCTTTGTGGATAAACACATATTCTGATCCAAAAACAAAGTACTCTCAGAGATATATTAATACTACTAGGTACACATGTATGAATGAATTCAAATTAAAGATTCATTGTGGTATAATTCGCTTCAATGAATTTTCAACAAATAGCTTATAATCTGGACATTTATTGTCAGTGCTTATTGTGTGCCACTCATTATGTTTTTGTATAAAGCAAAAATAAATGGAAAACTTATAACGGAAAAAAGAAAGGATAATTGGCTGGTATTGTGCTATGTTTTGTATTAGTTCCAAATAATCTTCAATTTAGAGATAACTAAGTCGACTTATAACTTAACTGTCGGGTACAGTAAATACACTTTCACTTCTATTATCGATAATGACATACAAGTTTGTTTGTTTTATTTTTAATTTTTCTAAACATGTGGTTCAATAAAAATAGTTTTTCCAAGAATTTACGCTGACTTATTTTGGGGATTGACAAAATGGAATAAAAGTAGAAACGATAAAAAGCAATCACTAAACATGATTCGGATAACGAACCCTAGGAGAGTAGCATAAACTCTGGTGCTCCTGAATTTTAAGCATATAGTGCATCTATGTTCAAATTAAAATTCCATCAGAGACTACTCGGTACGGGATATATTCAGACCACGTTCGAACTTAAATATTCATTCTTGCAAAATAGTACTTCGGTTATTTTTGTTATACTTAGTTTTAGAAAGCAGATGTTTAAAAATGCTCTACATTTAACACTTATTTATTAACAGGATATGGAGAAAATGGTACTTTTACGCAAAGCTATGCAAAAACAAACCGAAATCATGACTGAGGTATGTAAATTAAGATTTAAATATACTTGTTGACTTTGTATAATGTCATAATCTTATTGAGATTTGTTTTTTTCTTTCATCAATTGTTTCCTTCTCCTTGAGGAAGTTATTGAGGTTTTTCAATGGAGGCCTAACATATCTTAAAACAAAAGGAGAATATACCAGAAGGGGAAATTAAAACAATAAGCTGAGAAGAAAAATGACTGTTTCAAACAAAAATTTTACTGAAACTGACATTATCAAGATGCTTGATTTCTTGATTGACAAAATATTTTCTACGTTTGGAGGACGTGTTGTTCATCAACCAATCGGCATTTCCATGGGAACCAACTGTGCTCCTCTTCATGCCGACTTGTTCCTTATTCATATGAAGCTGACTGCATACAGGAGCTTTTTATATATATATATTATATTAGGTGTCCTCTCAGTAAATAAATCAAAGTTTGGTGACTATGTTGAACGTATCTATCCCATTGAACTTGCAATAAATGATACAAAAGATGCAGATTAGTCTGCCTTATATTTTGACATTGACAATGAGGGTCGGTTGAGAACATAACTTTACGACAAAAGAGATGATTTCAGCTTCCCACTTATGAACTTTCCATATCTATGTAGCAACATTCCATTCTCCCAGTTGATACGATATTCCAGGGCCTGTGTTTCCTATCATGATTTCATTGATAGAAGGTTGCTGCTCACAAGGAAGCTGTTAAACCCGAGTTCTAAGTGGTCAAGTTGAAATCATCCCTTCGAAAATGTTATGGACGCCATCACCACTTGGTTGTCCGTTTCACAGATGACGACGGACATATTTCAATAGGCGTAACCACGATCCCGTCCTTCTTTCCCGTAATGTGACCTACCGCATTAGACTTATCACCGGGTTTTTACCCACATGAGCAACACGAGGGGTACACAATGTGGAGCAGGATCTGCCTAACATTTTGGAGCACATGAGATCACACCTAGTTTTGTTTTAGAGGCGTTCGTGTTGCTCTTGCTTTAGTTATTAGTGTAGTTTTTTGAGCTTTTTAAATTTTTCTATGTTAGTGTTGTTTATACCGGTAACAGTCTCATCTATCCTTTGTCATAAAAAACTTGTTTCAATTTCAAAATTTCACGTTCGGTCAGGTTTCAGGGTAGGAAAATTTTACATGACTGATGGTCTTGAATTTGGCGATGTCTTATGGTTCGATAAGAGTCAATTGCCAATCCGCTATTACGTGATGTCTAATTACTTGATATAACTTATATAATAATGTATATTAAAGGAGTAATACGACAGGTGTCACATGTGGAGCAGAATCTGCCAACCCTTCCGTAGCACCTGAGACCACATAGGTATTTGGTGGGGTTCATGTTGCTCTGTAAATGTGTTCTGCATACTGTTGTTTATCATTTGGTCTTTTTCCTCTTTTGTCATGGAATGTCAGTTTATTTTCGACTTATGAGTTTGAATGTCTCTTTGTTATATTTCGCCTCTCTTGTTAGTTTGCAATTAAGTGTTTTAATGAAGAAAAAAAAATATCAGAATTGATGCATTATAATAGTTCATTGAATATTGTTCGGTATAAAATATTGAAAGTACTATGCGCATTAAGAATGGGACATCTGTTTTCAATTGCATCACTTAATCCCCAATTAGGGGGAGTATTCATCATTTTTCTTTAGTTTTCATCGAATCTTGTAATAGCGCAACATATTAAGATGTTGGTTTTCGTTTGGGATATTTTTTGATAATTTCAAATAAAATGTAAAGAAGGCACTTAGCGAAGCAAGACTCCTTGATAAAGGACAGTATTTAAACAAAACGTTGGACAACATTATTGTATCCTTTATCACCTTTCACTGATTTAATATTTTTTTACAGAATATTTTGGGCCAAGGAACAGATTGCCACCTTCTTGGTTTAAGAGAAATGGCAGTAGAGTTAGGACGTCCTGTTCCAGAATTATTCCTTGATGACGGGTTTAGGATTGCCAACCACTTTTCACTATCAACGAGTCAGGTAAAATATTTTTTGGAAAAGAAGGGATAAGGTGTATAAGTACACTACACAATAAACTGACTATCATATGGTGTTCATCATTTCAAAGTCATATTGAAGCCTCTTCGTCATCTCAAAGTCACAATGATTTCTCCGATACTGACTAAAAGATCACAGTTCACTAAAGTTCAAGAAGGCCACTGTTATAAGGTTTGAACGGAATTATTACTAGATAACAACAATACATCCGTGAATTGATTAACACAGATGCGGGGTACATTGAAATAGATTGTTATGGGCAAAGAAACTCAACAAGCATGGCAAATATCTTGACAATTTCGGGGCACATTAAGATATATGTAAGGAAATATACATTTCTTCTTGTTATAAAAAATCTTGATACTGACTGATAACTTAAAAACCAACTGAGATCACTTACTTTACAGATTTGAAAAAGTTGAACCCTTTTCTTCAGATGAAATTGAAACAAAATTAAAATCTCAAATGTTTTTGGTTTAAATCATTGACGTTTTGAAATGAAATGTTTATGTATGTGTATATTAAAAAATCATAATGAGTGATTGTGTTTGTGGTCGATTTGTATTTTGTGTTGACGACATGCAAACAGAGAAGGTAGACGCTACATGTATGTTCTCACTTATATAACGTCAGAGTACCCAAATTGCACCTATTCAGAATAAATAGCAGCGGAAATCTTACAAGTTTTCTTTGAGACTAAACAATTGGTGTTATTATGATTTGACATTTTACACGTCTTTCAACATAGGTAGCCAATATTTAGATATACACAAAACGTTCACAGTATATATTTACAGATGATGTATTTCATAGAAAGTAAAATCTACAGAACGTCTGGAGCCATGCGACGTCCACAAAAGTCATCTTTTAAAAATGAGCCAATAAAATATATTACAAGCATCCATTTCTAAAAAAAAATGAATAGTAACCATGGAATAATGTCAAATTGTTCTAAATATTTGAAGAAATAAAACAAAACATCTGTTATTCGATTTTTAAGAATGTGAATTTAAGCATGGATGCAATTTAGGTACTCCTCATTACAGAATCATGGATCGTTTGGAGGTTGGTTCAAACCCATTTTTCTATACTTCAAGATGTATTCAAAATTAAATTGGTGTAACTATATAGTAAATAAAGATACATCTACAAAATAAACACAGAATGGAAACTTTTGTCTGGATCATAACTAAACGTAGGTGAAAAAACTGTCAAAATAGTTGCATTTTGGGTACCCTCACGTTATATTTAATTCATTAATCTTTCATAAATCTGTATTTCAATTTTAATTAATATGGTTTACTGTTCATTTGCTCAAAACTATCCAATTCACTATGTCGATATATATTTCCTTAGTGAACCTTTTAGAAACACATAGCGCTTTACTTCGTACTTATTGACTCGCGTCAAACATCTTCTATGAACATTGTTTGGAAAAACGATTTTAACTCGCAAACTTAGAAAATCGACAATCAGTTTGGCATTGAATTATATCTCCACATGTGGTATTAATAAAACATCGTCAAAACAATATAGCAATTCATTCATACATATCAAAACCTAAGAATATTTGATTGCAGGTTCCAACTACTATGGACGCATTCATGTGTTATGGACCCGTTGTACCGGATGGATACGGTGTGTGTTACAATCCACACCCTCACAATATTCTTGTTTGCATCACATCTTTTAAAAGTCATTCGGAAACAAGATCTGATTATTTTGCATATACATTAGAAAGCAGTTTCCTTCAAATGCAGGAACTCTGTTTGAAAACGTCGGAAGCAGCACGTCCACTGCAGGCCGTACAAGAAAATTCACATCATACTCAAAATACTACAGACATGCGTAACGGAAGTGTTACTCGATTACATAATGGAGATTGTCATGGATCTCCTAGTAGAAGTCCTAGACATTTATCCAGATCAAAACGAGTTGGAAGTTCAAGTAATGAAATTAAGACTCCAAAATAGAGTTATGAAATGAAAGCATAAATTGTCTACCATAGCATCATTGATACTAAATGTATTTGTTAAATGTTAATAGGGGATTTTGTAAAAAATGATTTAATAAATGTTAAAAAAAAGTTTGAAAATACAATGTACCAGTATTCACTATTGATAAAATATGAAAAGAGACGCAGGGACATGTCCATTTTGAGTAATCAATCAGAATTAATGTTTTGAATTATTCATAAGACAAAGAAAGTTGCACTCAACTTCTCGTCAATGGAATCTTATATTTTCTGTATTGAGTAAGTATGAGTTCAGCGTTCATACGAATGCTATTTACAGAAAACAACAGATTCTTCAATATTACTGGGGTTTAATTTTTAAATAGCATATAAGAAAAAAAAATACATGCATTCAAGGCTTTAAAAAATGCAAACCTACAATTTTTCTTTTATCTAAGACGAAAATATTGGTTTTACGACTTGTAGTGTTACAATCATTAGAGAATGTAGATATTTCTTTGTTATACTATAATAATCTGTGATTTTCCATCTGATGAATGTTTTGTTGTTTAATGGACTTACGTTAAATTTACTGACGACTGTGATAAGTACATATTAATAGGCATATTTATCCTCTTCCGTTCTTTACGACACAACACAAATTAGATACACACTTTTTTATGGTGTATTAAATAACAAGAAAGATTTTTAATATACTTCTCTATTATATGACATATAACGTCAAATACGGAGTACAATGGTTACAAATAGAATAGATAATAACACACAATATATAATAGCTTCCAGTCAAGTTGCTCTTTGACAAACACCGAAATGTATAACTCTTACATGTAATTGTTTTGGTACGTACGAAGCGCTTTTCTGGAACTACCTTTATTAAGAACTCTCAAACGAAAATAACCATACAAAGAATAGTTAAATCCTGTAAGGTCAACATTGCCCTTAGGAGTATGTTAAATGTTATAGCATATAATAGAAAAGCAAATAAAATACAAATTATTCAATGTTTGATACAATTTAGGGGTAATCAAATTGCATACAACATACCATCTCACTAAATGCATGGTCTTTTTTTTTATAACACATATTTCTGGTAAACTAAATATAAAGACAAAAGGCAAAAGTCTTGTTAGGTTAATCTGTTGCTAACTTAAATAATATTGATTTTGTAGTTTTCTTAAAACAAATCAAACTATAGTTAACAATTGTGTACAGTGAAATTTGAAAATCCTATTATTTGGTATGTGTGATTGTCTAAACTATGATCATTGATTTATGTGCTACAATTTGTGATTTTCGAAACAAATAAGACAAAAGGTTACCGATTCAGAATTTCTTATTATCTAAATTTGCCTATACATGCTTTGTTGTACATTTTTACCTACATGAAAACACAAGATCTGTGTGTGATTTGCAAGTTTTTGGGACAAAGGAAGAAGAATACTTTGCCGCTTTTGTACTCCTACCAAATGACCAAACATGTAAGATTCAACTCAAAGTCATAATTTTAGGTAAATTCGCCATTTCAGTGAATTAAAAAAAGGGGACAGTCAAACTCATAGATCTGTCATAACTGTCATTGCATATCTGTATATAACCCACGAAAAAGATTATTCTAACCAAAACTACATTTTTTCTGATTCTTTTAATTTAAGTATCGATTTGACTGCAGCATGCAACTTTTAAATGTAAATTTTGGCCATGGCGTTGTCAGTTTGTTTTCGATCTATGAGTTTGACTGTCCCTCTGGTATCTTTCGTCCCTCTTTTAAATAATTATTTTGGATTGTGATCGATATTAATTATTGCAAATGAATGTGGATTTTGTAGTTTACAGAATTTTATGGGTTTATCTGGTGGATGGTGAACAATTCATATTCGATATACAATGTATATTGTTAGACAATGTTATTTATTAGATTTATTAATAAAAAAAATGCCTCGTGGATGTTTATTTATGTATTATGAATTGCCCTTTTAATTAGTGTTATTACTGTTCATTCTGTTAAATGAGTAATGTATCTAATATCTAATGTTATAATTATTCTAATTAGGCAACTATAACACTTTGTATACCTGATTTTTTCACCAAAATTTATGTCAATGAATATAGTAAATCAAGATTTCACTAACCCTGATACAGTTCAATTCCTACATAAATTTTAGGGTTATAATCAAGAATTACCTATTTGAAATTTTATGAATTATAAACAATACTAGAAATAGAGAAAATAAGTGGACAAGGGAACTAGGTTCTGCAATGCCATATGGTTGCAATGATAACATCAAAGGAGTAAGAAATTTCTCAAGTCGAGCCTGCAGTGATATATATGTGACGAGCTTATTTTACACTAACGTAAGACCTCAGCGTAATCATGGGGAAAAGCATTACCATCGGGCAAATGTAAAAAAGTCTTCTAAATCTAGATCATCCTCTGGGAGCTTTGATGACCTTCTTTCACATCTTCATCATCCTCTAGGTTTACATTACACTAGAACTATTCTTTTTCACTGCCTGTTAATTTTCAAAAATGTTTGAGAAATTGTGCACTTGACATGGAATGCAGAAATTTATTTTCTTTAATTTACAGGCTGGACGGTATAATTTTTGATGTAGCTCTTTTCCGTCTTTTTTTAACAAGTAAGATCGAAACCATTACAAGATGAAAATAGGAAATTCCTTCCAGTTCAGTTTTCTACTTAAGGATTCGATGCTATCAACATCAGCAACGTTCTTCATCACAAAAAAGGTATCAACTAAAATGCTGCTTTTTTTTCAAAATTCATTCATATTGTATTCTACAGTTGCACTAAAACAATTGCCGACCTCTTCTTATTTTCATGTGTCGGTGTCCCTTAAGAAACTTGTCAAAACAAAAGAACCAAAGAAACCAGATCATTTAATTTAACATTCAGATATATTGCTGATATTCTTTCCATTAACAATTTAAACTTTTCTGATGGGGTTCCATTAATATATCCTCCAGAACTGGAAATTTAAGAAACAACAAACACGACTTCTTTCTCCTAATTTTGGACTTTTATCTAGAATTTGACATCAACGGTCATCTCAGTACCAGAATCTACGACAAACGAGACGATTTTAATTTTGAGATTATGATTTTCCCCACCTTAGCAAAAATATACCAACTTCATCTGCATATGGGATATACATTTCCAAACTCATTCGGTATTCAAGAGGTAGCAGCTGCTACTCAGATTGTAAAAAAAATAAATATGACGGGCTTGAAGTATAGATTCTAGGTACTGACATTGTTTATCATCTTGATTACGTGTTAAAGTGTTCTTTTTTTTGTCTTTGCATATTTTTAACCTTTACTGTCAAGTCCATTTTTTGGTAATATTGTTTTGGCGTGACTCGGTATATATACATCCCGCACTTGTGTTATTATGCTATGGTCATTTTCGTATTCTTGTCTTTCATTTTTGATTATGTGCTTTGTCTATAGAGTGTCTATATGCCATTTTGTTTTTCTTTGTTGACATTGTTGTGTGTTTTTACAGTGATTATCAATGTTGACTGCTGTACCTCAATTTTTGACATTTGTACCAATTATGTCTATTTGTGTTGCTCACACTTTGTTGTCAATATAATGGAATTCTATACGACTGTCATATAAGTGAGAGATTTAGATGGCTATAAAGCCAGGTTTATTCCACCATTTTCTACATAGGAAAATACCTGTATTAAGTATATGAATATGGCTTTTGTTTTCCATTCGTTTGATGTGTTTGAGGGTTTGATTTTGCCATTTGATAACAGACTATCCGTTTTGAATTTCCTTTGAGTTCGGTATTTTTGTTATTTTACTTTTTTCTAGAGACATGTTTTTCAACATTTTGCGAGAATATTGCACTTTTGTTTCCTACTCTCAAACTGAAGATGATTTGCAAAAGAAGGAAAACTTTGCATACCCATTCAAAGGTCTTGATATCAAACTTTGCAGGCTGTCCCAAAGATAGGCTTAACATGTTGTTTTGTATATTTACTTGTTCATATCTTAGGATGCGTAAACAACATAGATTTGGTCAGAGGTTATGTTACTACTCAAGAATGGGCAATTGACAATAGGAAAACTAAAATCCACGGGTTTATCATGATAGGTTTTTGTTGTCAGTCAGCTTATATTTAAAAAAAAACCCGGTTCAGACATGTAGCCGAACTTCATACCTCTGCAAAAAAAAGGCGGGATCCAAAAAAACTGACAACACTCGCAAAAAAAAACTTTGCATACCCATTCAAAGGTCTTGATATCAAACTTTGCAGGCTGTCCCAAAGATAGGCTTAACATGTTGTTTTGTATATTTATTTGTTCATATCTTAGGATGCGTAAACAACATAGATTTGGTCAGAGGTTATGTTACTACTCAAGAATGGGCAATTGACAATAGGAAAACTAAAATCCACGGGTTTATCATGATAGGTTTTTGTTGTCAGTCAGCTTATATTTAAAAAAAAACCGGTTCAGACATGTAGCCGAACTTCATAACTCTGCAAAAAAAAGGCGGAATAAAAAAAAACTGACAACACTCGCAAAAAAAAACAAAGGACGACGAAAGGTTCACAAAACACTTCATAGAAAACTAAAGAACGAGCAAGACGAACCCAACCAAATCTGGTGGTGAATTTAGAATTTGATTATGAGCAACAGAATTTCATTGCACACAAAAAGGTTTTTGCTACGAGCCGTGTTTTGCCATTATGTTGATGTAAGGTAAATTTCTTTATGAATTATCTTCTCGTCGCTCATATTTCCTAAAAATTACATTTTCATTAACATAATTCAGTATGATAAATTTATGACGTCACAGCGTTATACATTAAAGATAACTTAACAAACACAGTTTTACAGGCAAAAGGTACCAACTTCAGCTAAATCATTTCGCTTCCTGTTTAAGCAGAACTACTGGACCTAGAGCTATATTTTGCAACACACATATTCAAGGTACCAATCTTAAGAAACATGTCGTGTGTCTGCCTGTATTAGGGATATCCAATAGTAAATATTTTTGATATAGGTGTGTAATAATTGTCGCGTCAGCTTACCTGTGGTTTAGTACCTAATGGTACTGGTGCTTTTTGATGTATGGCAAGCCAAAGAGGACAAAAAGAGCTATTTTCTAATATTAGAAAATCATTTAATATTAAAAAATCATTTTCTAATATTATGAATTCATTTTTTAATATAAGAAAATCATTTTTTAATATTAAAAAAAAAAAATCACTATTTCTTAATATTAGAAATGAATTTCTAATATTAAAAAATGAATTTCTAATTTAAGAAAATGAATTTCTAGTATTAGAGATTGAATTTCTAATATTAGAAAACTAATTTCTTATATTAAAAAAATGTGAATTTTTAATATTAAAAAATCAATTTCTAATATTAAAAAATCATTTATTAATATCAGAAATTCCCTTTTTAATATTAGAAATTCCTTTTTTAATATTAGAAATTCCTTTTTTAATATTAGAAATTCCTTTTTTAATATTACAAATTTGAAAGTATTTTCTTATATTCGAAATTCATTTTCTAATATTAATAAATGATTTTTTAATATTAGAAATTCATTTTTTAATATTAAGAAATCATTTTCTAATATTACAAAATCATTTTCTAATATTACAAAATCATTTTTTAATATTAAAAATTAAAATCTTCATCACCAACGAGTTTTGACATGTTTATTTTTATTATTTATATTGAATAACCCCTCCCTGTTTACAAACGGAATTAAAAAAAAAATGTCTGAAAGAAAGAATGAACTGAATCAGATTTTGCTAAGCATTGACGGGGCAGCTCTATTCAATAATTTCGAAGAAGTTGAAATCCTGATTAGAGATGCCTCAACTAAACTGGAAAATTGGAGAGCAGAATTAGATGAGGAAACCGTTGAGCAGCTTCAATCGTCAAGACTTGCCAGAGACATGAGGAATGTTCCTGTAAATTCTGGCTACAAAGCTGATAGACCTAAGACAGGTATGGAATATGCAATATAGACCGAATTTGACGTAGTTAAATAAATATCTTTGGCTATTTTCTTTATTTTCAGTTTAAAACAAAAATGATTAAAAAAAAAATTGTCAGCCCCTAACGTGAGGGTACCCAAATTGCAACGATTTTGACAGATTTTTCACCTACGTTTTTTTATGATCCAGACAAAAATTTCCATTCTGTGTTTATTTTGTAGATGTATCCTTATTTACTATATAGTTACACTAATTTAATTTTGAATCCATATTGAATCATAGAAAAATGGGTTTGAACCGACCCCCAAACGATCCATGATTCTGTAATGAGGAGTACCCAAATTGCATCCATGTTTAAATTCACATCCTTAAAAATCGAGTAACAGATGTTTTGTTTTATTTCTTCAAATATTTTGAAATATTTGATATTATTCCATGCTTACTATTCATTTTTTAAGAAATGGATGCTTTTAACATGTTTAATTTGCTCATTTTTAAAAGATGACATTTAGAGAACGTCGCATGGCGACGTTTCCGTAGATTTAATTTCCAGGGAATGCTTCATCTGTTGATATATATATACTGTGAACTTTTTGTGTATACTTAAATATGTCAACCTATGTTCAAACACGTGTATAATGCCAAATCATAAAAATACAAATTGTTTAGTCTCAAAGAAAACTTGTAAGATTTCCGCAGCTATTTTTGTTGAATAGGTGCAATTTGGGTACTCGGTGCAATTTGGGTACTGTGACGTTAGACAAATATACAACAGTGTGATGATAATTGAAGACTTTTTAATATGGCATTAATTTTAATGTTAAATAACTGTATTGTAACATTTTGTCTTTTTTATTACATGAAATATTTATTATAATTTGCACTTTTCCTGTGCATGAAAGTATGTTCTTGGTATTTATTTTATATTAACCTAGCAGTTCAGAAACGTGTATGTATCCTTT